GTTTGAAGTCTTTTTCTAGGTATTACTTGATCTGGACATTTATTCCGTATTAAATTGCCTGAAAAGTACACCATGGTTTGCATGCTCCAAATGTGCCTATAAACTGCCATTACTGATACACAGTGCACTAAGCACAGCCTCTCCTTATACTCAAAACCACAGCTGGAGGATATATATGCAAGTAATGCCCACTTCAGTAGTTCTGTGTTGAGAATTGTTCATCAGCTCCCAGCATGGTGGTTTTAACTCCTAAGATCAAGATTATGTCTGGGAGAAGGTGCTCTTTCTCCTTATGTTTTACTTGTGCAAATCGTGCCATTGGATGCCAAAGCATCTCCCAAGAGGTGGTGGACAAGGGAGCATCCCTAGTCGCACATTTAGAGCAGCCATTGAGAATAAATGGGAGCTGTGTTTACTAGCTGTTACTTCCAGAGCTGGTTTTCATTTGATGACATTTTCAGTGCAAAATACATACACTGTACTGGAACAAGTATGCTTCTGGAGATGCCTTACAAAGTCTGAATGTTTGGATACTACAGATAGGAATTTAAAAGCTTTTTAGGTTACTTCACAGCCTGACTTCCTCCATAAAAAAGCAGATCAGAGAGAGGGCAAATGACTGATAGATGCAACTGATCTGTAAGCATGTGGCATGCATCCCACTGGGCCTGAGCAGCAGGCTGTGTCGATTTGCTACTCTCCTTGTATTGTTTCTAGCTTTTGTTTCAGAAGATCTTCGTTCAGTTCACATCTTCATTCTAAATTGTGTCTTCCAGAAACAGCAGCTGAGGCAGCTGTTGCCGTTCTTCGGGTCTGAAGCCAGTGACTGGCCTTCTAGCTGATTTGAAAGGCATGAATCATGGCTGTTAAAACAGACCCCTCTGGTGCTTAAGGCTGAAAGTCTGGGATAACTTCAAATTTTATCTGGTCTGAACTGAGTCTTTAAGAAGGCAGATACTCTGCTCCCATCTGGGGTTATACATCGCAGTAGGAGAAGGAAGTAATCACATTTGCAGGGAACCACAGGTAAGAAACGGTGCCTACCTTGCCAGAAGAGCCACTTCTGTTGGACAGCAGTTGAATACAGCACTGAAAGCTTGGAAACATAGGAGCTGGGAGTAAATGAAGCTGAGACATGTTCTCATTTCCATGCCAGAAGGCAATGTATGGTAATTGGGTTTTTTTCAGGAAATCTGAGAATTGGGGTTTTCTGCTGACACCTGGACAGGCAGGCAAGGTAAAACTAACACGACATATAAATGGATGCATTGAAGTGCCTGTTTTAGTCATAGTGATCTGCATAAACAGACTGCTCAGCTGGTGTTATGTGCATGTCCTCCTCTCTTAGTACAGAGTATGCAGTGTAGCAGAGGTCTGTGGTGAAATGGCAAGCTTGGTGCTGGGGAGTGAGATCAGCCTTCTAGATGTGTGCAAGGCATCCACTGCTATGGGTTGCTTGAACCTCGCAAGAAGGACTACTCTTGCTGCTGGAAGTTACCAGTGTGAGACCCACAGTTGGATTTTGATGTCCTGTTTCTTTATTTCTGTATGTAGGCTGCTCAGGAGCACTGTAAAACACATTGCTGATCTACAGACAAGCTATAGTGGGGCTTGGAGACCAAATTTGTTTCAAGTAGTTCCATGAATATATAGTCTAGAGAAGTCTCATCCCTATCTTTATGTTAGATTTTTTGCTGTATGGGGAAATCGTGTTCTGATCTGACAGTCTTCCTGTGTCTAGGGTGTTTGCAGTTCTCCTAATGTGTATGGGCACTGCTGGTTTCGTACCCAGTGAGCTCATTGCCCTCTGGCATTTATGAATGTCTCTGTCATCTATTTTTTAATGCATTTCCAGGAATATAATATATTTGAAAAAAACTTACACTTCAGTCAGGGTTAGAATTGAGTTTCAAAGTTGAGAGAAAGAGGCAAGGGAGAAGGGGACGACACACAGTTGCGTAAATTCATTAGCCTTAGGGAACAGGATAACAGAGGACAAACCAGGGCTTTGATTAGTGTGGTAGATTGAGCTAGTCCCCAGTCTTACTAGTATTAACACTGCTTGAGGCCAAGAAGTCCGTGAGGATTGTTAGAGGCTGATCAGAGAAGACCCATAAACGGGAAGAACTGCTTTGTTAATAGCAGGGGAAGCGTGTACTCAGCATTGCTAGTCCATCTGCACAGTGGGACTGCAGCCACCACAAATCTGTAGTTGCTCTATTGCGAATGTATCCCTGTGCTTGGATCAAAAGTGGCAGCAGAAGAGAATGCCCTATTTGAGGCTCTGACTCAGAGCTACCAGGAACAGCAGCAATTGCTCTGGAGAAAAACGTGGCTCCTCTCGTATGGCAAGGGGGTTCCTGAATGTGATTCCATAACAGGGAGGTTTTTCTGAAATAACACTTCATATTTCTTGCAAAAAAAAAAACCCAGACTGGTTCTCTAGTCCTTTTCCTATTCCCTTTCCCCACTCTCACTTGCCTATCCCATAATAACAAATGTGGCAACAACTTCTTGTCCACCTTGTTTTGTTGCCATTTACAGGCTGGAACAAACATCAGCTGGTCCATACTTGCTTTTTTCCCTAGTTTCTGACATGCTTCTCTGTAGCGAGGGGGATCCTCTGAATCCCTTGGCTGAAGCAGCTGAAAGGTCCAAATCATGAAGCCACAGGGAACTTTGGGGTGGCCTGAAGTACTATCAAAGCCAAGCACAGCAGTCTGGGCTCTGCCCCACTGCAAAGAAAGCTGCTTTGAGCAAGGAAATCTGCATCTTCCACCTGGGAAGCAGTCCTGTGATAAAGTGCCCTGTCCTTCACACTCATTTTTGTGTTACAAATAGGAACTTAAGGGGAATTAAGACCCTCCCCACCATGGGATGGCTGGGGACAATGATGATGCGAAGCACCCTGTGCTGCCTTGCACAGCATAGCGAAGAGGCTGTGAGGGGATGCACAGTTTTTGTCTGTGTTTTGGGGCAGAAAAAAATTGACAGGAAATTAATTTTGTTAATGTAGTTAACTTAGGAGCACTCCAGCATACTGCCAGACTTTGCTTCCTAATGGTCTTCCTCCTTTTGCCCAAACCTGTGACAGCTCGCACTTGCTTTCTCTGTAACTTATTGCATGTACTTTTGCATCATCACCGCTGCTGCATCGCACTGCAGGTGCACCCCTCTGCAAGAAGGTGGGTGCCCTCTCCTCAGAAGAGAGAGATCATAGCTTTGTGAGCCTGCAGATCATGGAAAGCTGCTGGGCTGAGTCAGTCTGCAGGAACAGACACAGCTTGCAAAGGCCTTGGAAGAGCTGGTGTTTATTTACAGCACTTTATTTTTCCCTATTCAACAGGTCTGAATTCCCAATCATAAATTCTGGGAAATGATGGAAATGATCAGCATGGTTCAAATGGCACCAAATTCAGAGCATTTTTCTAAGACACAAAAATGAAAGTATTCTTCTAGGAATAGGTGTTTTCCAACTGTGCAAAAGAGTGTGCTTGGCTCAGAATGTGATATTCTGTATTTGGAATAAAGGCTCTTCTACCAAGGAAATACACCAGTTTTAAAGTGATTAAACTTGCAAGGATTCTGCTAAGAGCAAGCCCTCCAAAACATAGGGGAAGCTGAGGTTTTGGAGGATGTAACTCCTGTGTGCATCTGTACGTGTGGAGAAGTGACTTACATGTTTGTTCAGTTTGGATCCCTCAGCAAAGAGCTGTCTCCCTGGAAGCGTTCCTGCAGGGAGCTGCATGTTGCTGGGCTGCCTGTCCTAGACACCACTCCATCACACAGTGGTGGCTCTAAGTGGAAGATTAGGAAGTACACTCAGTTAAGAAACAAGTGAAGTGTAAGGAATGGTGTTACTGTGATCCATGCTTTGGAAATTCCTGGTAAGCTTTAGATGACAGACAGCTGAAACACCCCTGCTGTCCCTTCTGACAACTGGCATTTGCAGTACACATTTCATCTCTCTTTATCCTGATGTTTCAGCTCCAGAAGCTGTGGAGAAGCCACCCTTTCTCACCTGCCCAATCTCTTTCCCCCACCAAGCTCCTCCTGAAGCCCCTGACAGTTGAAATCTCCCTCCTAGACTTCATGAGGACTTCACAGTAACGAGAGAAGCAGCAGTGTGGCTGATGTTGCTGTGGTAGAAAAGATGGTTGTATTTTGGGGATCTTAACCCCACTAACCGCCACCGCCACCACCCCCACCAACCTTCCCCCAATCCACTGCGCTTCATTGACAAATGCCCAGGCTCTGATGCATTTTGGTAATGTATAGACTCCAGTTTGAATTGAGGATAGAGGGAACTAGGTAGGAATTGTGCCTGGGGACTGTGTTGGATGCTATCTGATACTAACCTCATTTTAAATAGCTTAGTTAGTTATTGTATTCCATATCGAGCTAGCCTGGAAGCTTGTAGCTCAGTGGAAAGGACACAAAGGGGAGTATTCATCAACGATAACCTTCGGGTTATCGTGCCTGGGAGGGGTTGGGGCCGCTCAGGCTAAATGCTGTGCATCTCAGCAATTGCTTCTGAAGTCAGATTCCTGCATTGAGCCCTTCCCCTGGAGGATCCTTTCCTTTCACAGGCTGTGCAGGTAGGGGAGCTCCTCCACGCTGAATTTAGCTTTTGTGAACATCTGTCCTTGTCCCAACAGGAGCTGCAGAAGTGCCATGTCACACCAGTCTGAAGGACTGTGTGTGGTAGGTACAGAAACAGCAGGGCGCTTCAACAAGCGCAACAAGGCAGCCACTTCAGTTGAGGGGAACGCTTGGGTGTTTTTCTTATCCCCCCAAGGGTAACTGGATTTATTTGTTGGCACAAATCTGAATGAGCTGGCACATCTGAAATGCATTGGCTTACATTGTGCCAAACTAGATATAATGTAATTTTGTGATTGATTGCAGGAAAACAAATGAAAAAGCCCTTTAAAAAGGAATCTGTAGCAATACAGTTGGAATGAAACAGGGTGCTACAAACTCTACTAAATAATGACAACCTCTTTATCAAAAAAGCTTTATTTCTACAACACTTTTTATAAAGTGTGCTACTAAGTAACAATAATTAAAAAGTCGTGTTGCTTTTGTCCAAGTCTGGCAGTTCCTTTGCTCTTGCTGTTTTACATGAATGGAAGGAAAGCAAGGCTGAGGGAGGAGGACTCAGCCTCACGCAGTGCAGCTGTGTAAGCACCAGCTATAGCAGGGTAAATGGCATTAGTAATCATCATAGTTGACACCTGCTCCATGCCTGAAAGTGTGTGGATTTCGTGGACCAATCGGTGCATCTTCATCATAGTGGTGTTGGTAGTACCCACCGTAGTATTCATTGCGAGCACGCCCTAAGCTGGTCCAGTAGGACATGTCATCCTCAAATTTCTGTGGAAAAAAAAATACTTTCCTAACCTAAACTTCACAACAAAGAGAGAGAAACAGAAATGGTGCAACAGGTTCATTTTGTCTCTTTCAGAAATTCAGATCCTTTGTGTGCTTGTCGAAATGAGATCTTTAGCTCTGTGGGGTCTGTGACTTGTACCTACCTTCTCTATGGAATTTATCAGGGTCCTAAGTGCAGGAATTGTCCTGCCCACATGGGGCTCATCCCAACACCCACTGCCCCCTGTAAAGTGCTTAAACTGAGGCACGCACTGAGCACCTTTAGTTTTTCTATTACCTTTTCCACGGTGGATGATGAAAACCTTTCAATGTTTTGCACTTAAAAATCTAAAGGTTTGGTGCCCCACTTCCCCATGCCTTTAATCAAAATGTCACTGACTGCAGAGTGGGTGCAACAGGCTTTTGCTTTATGCCTGTGATCTTTTGGTTCTCTTTTACATGGGTAAAAATGAAGGTACAGCGCAGCCTTCCAGCTATGGAAATGCAATAAGCAGTTCAATTCTGCTCACAAAAGCAGAGGAAAAACTGTGTGCAAGGATATCAAATACTTGCCAAGCCAAAGCCTTTCCATCTGAATGACTCTTTGGAAATATTTTTGGCTGGGATTTGGAAAAAAAGTTTTGCAAAATACACAAAGGGTAAGCATGGCCCAAGTCCTTTGCTTGGAACAAACAGTTATTTCATTGTTAAAACTGTGTCTTAACACTCAAGAAAACCTACTAAGCAGATTCATTGTATCCCACAACAGGCCTCATTTCAGTCTCCGAAATGCACAGAGGAGAATTTGTCTTATCTACATGGTTTGTCCTTACTACTTCTTGGTATTTGCCCCCAGTCTTTAGCTTCTGATGCATAAAATCACTTTGCCTATTTTCCTGTTCCTATTGGAGGAGGGTGCTATAGCCCTGATGTTAAAAACTCACTTTTATCTGCATAATGCCCAGGGGGTAAAACAAAAAAGTATCCGTCATCTTTTCAGTCCAAGCAAAGGATTATTTTTCTAATTGTTCCAGCTTTGAAAATGAGTGCATTCATCTTCTAAGCAATCCACATAACATGAAGGTCCAAAATGTTCTCCAGCTTGCCTGTGCCAATGCAATCTCATTAAACACATTCATGCAGCTAACAGAAGCCAAAACTTCTGCATCTATAACTACTTTTACCTCTTATTAACATAGAAATTATTCTACATGTGAGACTGCAATAAATGCACATTTTTCACCCTATTTCAGCATCTGTTTGCTAAAGCTTTGTGCAGAGCTGGGAACACTTGATTCCATCCCAGTGTTTTTACAAATTAACTGGGTTAATTATCCTTCCACATCTGAAAGGGGCCTACAAGGATGCTGGGGAGGAACTCTTCCTTAGGGACAGTAGCGACAGGACAAGGGGGAATGGCTTCAGGCAAACAGGGGAAGTTCAGGTTAGATATAAGGAGGAAATTCTTTACTGTAAGGGTGATGAGGCACTGGAATGGGTTGCCCAGGAAAGTTGTGAATGCTCCATCCCTGGCAGTGTTCAAAGCCAGGCTGGACAGAGCCTTGGGTGACATGGTTTAGTGCAAGGTGTCCCTGCCCATGGCAGGGGGGTTGGAACTGGATGATCTTAAGGTCCTTCCCAACCCAAAGCATTCTGTGATTCTCATTTGAAGGGAGGTTGGCTGCACATTATCAAATGGTTTTGCTTTCATGTTTAGAGTCGAGGCACAGCAGCCAGGGCTCACAATGCAGACAGAAGCTGCCTGCATCATGGAGGCCCAGGCACGCAGTAGGTACATATTGTTAGTGCAATTTCACTGAGGAATGCCAATCATGACAAGCTTGGTGTGAATTTCTCAGAGTGTTTAAAAGTAAATTGATAAGGTTGAGGCTGCCAAATTAATTTTCTGAAATATGATTGATTGATTTGGGTCTCACCGCCTGTTTCTCAAAGCAAGCTTTGTTTATACATCCATTTGCAATTTATTAAGCTACATTCAGTCACAGCCAAGACCTCCACACAAAATTCGAATGTCAACTTTTTCTATTAACAAAATAAGAAAGAGTTATCTAACAAATAACAGAGCTTACGTTTCTGTGCAACGTTTGCTACTTTACAAACAGAAACCGCAGTATCTGTGACCAGAAGTGGGGCAGCTTGCCCCCATGGCTGTGCATCCACACTCACAGCCACACACCCTGAAGCTCTACTGACCCTGGAAAGCTTTTTACTCACCGCCTCATCAAATCCCAGGTACAGGAACTGCTGGTACCACTGCTGTACGTCAGGCTGGCTCCTGTCCCACAGCTGGCGCCTCTGCCGTCTCAGGCTGTTTAGGAATGCCTTGGCCGTTGTTTCTTTCACTGACAGCTCAGGCTTCATGGCAACAGGGGCTGAAATTAATCCCCCCCCACCCCAAAAGACATGCCAGGGAATTTTTAGTCATCCTGAGGCTTGCAGCAAGTAAGAAAATGCTTCTCACATTGTGCCATCAACTTTGTGCTTGGCAGCGCAATGTGTGTGACAGCAGTAGCAGTAATAAACCCAGCAACCATTGATGTAATAGGATTCCTCAGCTACACCCGTCCACTTGGACTTTGAAAAGCTGTTCTGAGCTCAAAGACAGAAGCTAAGTGAGGAATTTAAATAAATAAACCCAAACTCAAAGATCATATACACAACGGGTTTGTGCTTTGAGGAGAGGAGACTGGCCTCTGTGCTGCTGTTGCAGAAATGGGAATGGAGATGTGAGATGAAATTAAAAAGCCTGAAGAGCCTGGAGAAATGCTGTTAACTTACTAGGGTGAAGGGAGGCACACATAAAAAGGTAGATTTTTGAATCTGCTGTTTAAAATGTAGCTTTTAAATAACAAGTACTACTAAATGCACTGTATGCCTGAAAATAAAACCCTATCAGGCTTCCACAGGACACTGCTTGGTGGATGCATGGGAATGCCCTCAACCTGCGAGACCCAGATGTGCAATCTGGCTTGCCCCATGCCTAAGGGCCAGCTGTTTTCTATGGCTGCCAGACAAAATTATGTGCCTCTGAAAGGCATGTATGTGAGGACGGGCTAGTCCCCTGCCATGCATGGAAATGATGAAACATGGCATGATGTTTTGTCTTCCCCATGATACAAGAAGCATGTGTATGAATCAGAGGAATGTCTTGCCTTTAGAAGGTTTGCTGCAATGAGGGAGAGACCCAGGAACTTGGACAGGAATTTTTGGAGGATGTGAGGGAAGAGGCTGGGGCAGACAGGGAAGTCAGGTGGAGATGTGAAAACCATTGAAGTAGGAGGTGGGCAGACCCACGGTGGGCAGTGAAGGACTGCAGGGGGAAGGAGATTCAAGAGGTAAAAGTGATTGATAGATGAGTTGTCACAGGAAGAGTGGGAAGCAGCAGGCTGCCCTGCAGTGATGAGTTGGAAACTGATAACTCCCTGTGCGCTCAACCTGGGTGTTATGACTGAGAAGCAGGACTGCTGAACAAACGTCATGTCAGTGAGCCCTGCAAAAGGGACACTGCCGGGGAGGGAGCCAGCACTGTGTACGTAGCCTGCTCGCTTTGGCACACAACTGCAGAAGGGGGGTGAGGCGGGAATTAAGGGGCTATGTATTCCCTCCATCATCAGTGCAAGGCTTTGCAGTTCTCCCTGGTCTAGGCTGTGATGCTTGTGTGCTGCAAAAGCCTTCCTTTGGGAGGTCACTCCCATCAGGGGACCCGAATAAACAAGTGGACTGCTGCTGAGGTACAGGGAGGGTTGCTGTGGCAAGCGGTCACTCCTATCTGCATGCAAGCACTGCAGACTGGTAAGGCAGGGAACCCATGTGCAAGGCTGTGGATGGGACACATGTTTTGGGGCTGGCAAAGAGGTGGTGGGTGACTTAGGGAAAAACCCAGTGGGAAGTCTGGCAGCCTTGCAAAAAGTGGGATTCTGCTCTGTAAGGGATGTAAATTCTTTGCCTTAGACATGGCTGAGGGTAGGACACCAGAACTTCTAGGCCACTTCAGCCTGCCTCCATCTGCTGCAGTGCTGCTTGTCCCCAGCCAGCTCTGTTTCCACACCTTCCCCTCAACCAGCAAGCCATTCGGTGCATCTGCCCACTGGGCCCTTGGCCATCATCTCTCCTGTAGAGAAGCAGTCTTCCAAGAAGGAAGAACACATGGGGCCCAGAGGACAAAAGGAACAAGTCAAGGCATCATGAGCAAGCCCAGTTTGCACATTTTCTTCACTGCACCTGAGCCAGCAGTATTTCTATGTGTTGCAATACCTTGGACAAGATTGTGACTTCCCAGAATAAACCAGCTAAACGCCAACCCGCCATGCGTACACTGGAAAAGGTGGATGCTATACACTGCGCAGAGCAAAATGCCAGCCTACTGCCTGGGGCGGGGAGCCCTGGTTTTCAGAGGGGGCTCTGATGAGGTGAGCCTCCAGCCTTTCCAGTACCACATCCCAAACAGACGTAAGACCCCACCTGGGGTACTGCATGCAGATCTGGGGAACCTCAACATAAAAAGGACATGGCCCTCTTGGAGCAAGTCCAGAGAAGGGTTACAAAGATGACCAGAGAGCTGGAGCACTTCTGCTATGAAGACAGGCTGAGACAGTTCATCGTGGAGAAGAGAAGGCTTCAGGTACACTTTATAGCAGCTTTCCAGTACCTAAAGGGGGCCTTTAGAAGAGGCTGGAGAGGGGCTTTTTGCAAGGGTGTGACAGAACAAGAGAGAATGGCTTTAAACTGAAAGAGGGGAGATTTAGATTAGGTATTAGAAAGAAGCTCTTCCCTGCGAGGGTGGTGAGGCACTGGCACAGGTTGCGCAGAGAAGCTGTGTCTGCCCCATCCCTGGCAGTGTTCAAGGCCAGGTTGGACAGGGCTTTGAGCAACCTGGTCTAGTGAACGGTGTTCCTGACCATGGCAGGGGGGTGGAACTAGGTAATCACTAAGGCCCCTTCCAACCCAAACCATTCTCTGGTTCTAGCTGGGTGGCTTTTGGTACGGCATGCGGAGAGAGCAGCTGTGTGCTACCAGCTTTGAACCAGGCACTTGTCCACTGTTCCTCTGGCTGTCTGCCTTGAGCTGTAAATTCAGTGGCAACATGTTGGCAGCTTTGACTGACATCAGCTGACTAAAGGAAAAATAAGGGGAAGCACTTCACTGTCTCTTCACTTACCTTCCCGTTTCTGAAGCATCTCTTTAAGCTTATTCCCCCTTGACACATCTAGACAAGTAAAAATAAAACACATACATTTACTAAGAAAGAAAAGGCAAAAAAAAAAAAAGTTTACATCTCAGAGAACACTGAAAGTATTTTTGTCATAGCTTCAGACCAAGAGCCAGAACTCTGTGGCATGTTTCTCCCACTGCCTCCCTTTGCTCCCATTTCCCCGATCCAGCACACCATACACTGCAGGGAAGCTTCTGACATCCTCTCCCCAGCTTTTCTTGGCAAGAAAACCCCGATGGTGGCCTCTTCACCAATTAAATCATATTTTTCAGCAGAAGACTGTAACCAGTGCCAGTATTGTGACACAGTGTGCAGGCAGCACAGTAACCCTGGGAACCCCAGGTCACTGAGCGAGGGGCATGCCAATGACCTGGCTACTTCAGATCTGTGCCTTGGCAGCCTGTCACAAAGCACACCAAAGCTGTTCCTACTGAAGCCCTTTCTCAGAAGGGATCCAACGCTTTAGCCCACTGCCAGGCAATGCAACAGATCTGACCTGCAAGAGCTCTGCTCTGGAAAACAAGCTCTTTAAAAGAAAATGCTCAATTTGCACAGGTTTTAGAATCATAGAACCATAGAATAGTTAGGGTTGGAAAGGACCTTAAGATCATCAAGTTCCAACCCCCCTGACATGTGCAGGGACACCTCGCTCTAAACCATATCACCCAAGGCGTGACTGAAGGCGTTCACTCATGCAGGACACGCGGGGAAGGCTCCTTCTTCTCCCCAGGACGCGTCGGGTTGTGTTTTCCCTCCCTGCATCCCGCACCCATCCCGTACCCCGTCCCGGCCTCGGGCGCTCACTCACCGGGAGCTGCGCAGAGCAGCGGGAGGAGGAGGAGGAGGAAGAGGAGGGAGGCCCCGGGCAGGGCTCCGCGGGGACACGGCGGCAGCATGGCAGCGGCGAGACACCTGGGCTGGAGGAGACGGGAGGATGAGGATGGGGATGGGGATGGAGACGGAGCAGAGGGAAGGGGCGCTCTGACCCGCCCCGGCCCGACGCCACGGGGTGGGGCGGAGAGGCGGCAGAAGTGAGTGGGGGGGGAACGAGGACAGCCGCTTCAGGTCGGGGATCACCCGGTAGCCAGCGGCGGGTTTGCCACTTCCCAGCAGTGATTTTGTTTTGTGGTTACACATAATCCAGTGCAACCGGTAAAGACCTTTCAGCGATTCATGCAGGGTTTTCTCACAGGGAATTAAAACATAGCGGTAGCACATCATTTGGCACTTCTGTATGTATAAAGACAGTTTGTCACTCGGCTGGAACAGCAAAGGGAAATTCAGAGGTTGTCTTGGTGGAAAAACGAATCAGAATCAACCAAAGGTGATCCAGTTCAAGGTTTTTTCTCTCTCCCTTCCTCCCACTCACCCCACTCTCCCCCCCCTCCCCCCCCAAGACCCCAGTGTACATCAATACATTTTAACTGGTCAGCTCTAAAAATAATTCTGATTTCTTTTTCTGTATATAGACAAGTTTAACTTATAGCAAAACTCAGGGACCAAAAGCCAAACTCACAAACTATATAAAACTCCTTGTTCAGCAGTATTATAATTAATGGTGCATAAACTTAACTCTGTCTCTTCCTAATTCAGATTTAAGTTTCTCTCTGTGAATTCCCTGTCTCTCTGCTTCAGAAACAGCCCAGATGAAACAAAGCATAGTGAAATCCTTGCCCATGCTCGGACACAAGCCTCTCTCTTCCACCCCAGCACTGACTCACAACACTCAGGGGATGGTTACGGGCATCTCGCCTGCTGCTGAAGCTGTGCCAGGGTACAGAGGCACACAGGAGGGACACAGGGGAAAGCCAGGGTGAGCAGGGGTGAGCTGGGCTCTCTCTGTAACCTACTTGTGAGAAATCTGGCAAGCGCAGAAGGCTTGGCTCCCTGATCCAAGGGCTGCTTCCAGATTGGTTACAGATGAAGATATACACACACAGTGTACATATTGTAATTCTATAGAAATATGTGCATTGAATACATGTGTGCATATATACGTATACGTGCATGTGTGGTGAGGGAGCTGTGCACAGGTGTGGCACCTCCCTGTGATGAGATGTGGAGCCCGTCAGTGTTATTTCAGGCACAGCTGAGTGTGGTGGTGGGACAAGATCCTATGCCTGACTTTACCACTCACAGTAAAATACAGAAACAGCACCAGCAAGGGCTGATCCCTCAGCAGTGTCCCACCCACAGCCTGATCATTGCTTCAGGTGACTGCTTCTGACTGCCCCACACATCTTTTCCCTTGTGAAAAAGTACTTAGAGCTGCACCCGAAGTGTTCCTTCTTCTTCCTTCCATCCCCCAGCACCCTCAGGGTTATGCTCAGGCCTCTCTGCCCATCACAGTTGAAGTAACACCAGCAACAGCTTGAAAAACCAACGCAGTCACTCCAGCCAAAGTGCCCTTTGGTCTCTGTGAGAGCCACAGCTTTGGAGGGCAGAGCAGGAGGCAGCAGCACCTTCCAGGCTCTTGTCTGTGATGGAAGCACTCTCATAGAAGTCCTCAGTTCAGTGCAAATGGGAATCAAAACTAGCTTGCCCTTTCTGTCACTGCTTTTGAGTGGTTTCTTTCCACAGCCCCATGTATAAAGTGTCAGCAGATTTAACGGCATGTGCTGGAGCAAACACCCCTTCTTCTGAATCAATACACTCTTTCATCAGCTTAACGTTGACAGCCTCTTTACTAAAACCACCTGAGGTTTCTGAATGACTAGTTGCAGAATATAGCTAGAAGGGACAGCAGGGAAGAGCACATATGGAAGGCTACATGAAACAGCCATGATGTAGATAATTTTGAAAGCCAAGGTGATAACACATGAATATTTATGGTCTACTGCTATACTGGTAATGGCAGAGGGTGTTGTTTTCACCTGACTAGTTTGTAACAAGCCTTTTGTGGGAACTGGGATTCTGCAGAACTTCAGGTACTTGGTGCCTCTGGGCCAAAAGAATACAAAACACAAAACCTCCTCTGGATACCAAATATAACACCATGATTCAAGAAATTACAGATGTAAAATGCTATCTGGTGAAACCCAGGGAACAGATTGACTCAAGGGCAAGGTTATTGTAGAAAATCATTGCCCTAGTGGTGGAAGAAGTGATTGGCAGAAGAATAGAATGCTCAGGGTTAAACTGAGTGCAGTATCTTCCCAGAAGAGGTCACTTTGTCAGTTCAGGGGATGAAAGTTTTAGACATAAAGAAAGAAGCTGAGTAAAAATGTAACACCACTTCTTTTCAAAGGCAGTGGTGAAAGGTGGCTGATATTTTTCCAGTAACAATCTTTATGTGTGTTCCAGCTTGATTTAAGGACTGAGGCAGTGTTGCCCTCCTGTTGTAGGAAGACATTTCTTTCTGCTGAGCTTGCAACTCCTGCATCATGATCGGAAGTGTTTACCTTCAAGTGAGTATCCCTGTTTGTTGTCACACCTGCAGTACCCCTTTCTGTTATTCGTCATGTAAACCCACAGCCTCTGTACATGTGACTTGGGTTCTGCAGTGTTTTGCTGGGATCTCTCCATCAGCAGTGACATCACACTTTCTAAAACATCTCCTTCTTTAGCATGAAGGAGGTAATGCTTGTCTTAGGGCTTAGTTTGCCTCTGCTGGCACACCAGCGCTGGGAGCTCTCTGCCAGCACGACTGTGCAACACCCCTAAGGGCTCTAGGTAAGCAAGTCTGCACTAATGACACCATTTCCTTAAATGTCTTTCATCACCACTGATGACAATGGTAGACTCTTGGTGTTGAAGCGTTATTGGAAGATGTTAACTAATGTTGTCAGCAGGAGTGTTCCCCAGACAGCTCGAGGATGAGTGGTGAGCAGGGCATGGTGTGAAGTTCCATCAAGTCGCTTAACGTAATGGGGACCACTAGTTGGAGGGATGCTGTAGCAGGATAGCAGGATGGAGCTGGTGGAGAGACACACTGGAGCCAGAGAAATCCCAATTGCTGAGCCTACTGCTGGCCAGTATTGCTCTTGGAGCCTGCAGGACTTGGTGTGTATTATCTGGGATAAGCAAAGAAGATCCAAGCTGATTTAGTAAATATATCAGCAACTCACTGTGTGTTTGGTGACCGCTTAGGCGACCCCATTTCATCTGTGGGATCTCTGAGCTCATGCCTAGTAGTTTTAAACCCAGTGGCTTCTACAGGTAGATAAAGTGGGCATGTGTGGCTGTTTAACTGATCTGAACTAGATGAGGGGTGGGGAAATCTCGGCCTCAAAACATCACTGAATTTTTGTTAGATTTTTTTAATTATTATTGTACATTTTGCCTAAAATTAAGTACTGAGAGATGCCTGAGTAGCAGAGACACCTCTGCTTTTGCATCTCATCACAGTAGCTGTTGAGAGAACTGTGGTGTACTCATTAAAAGGTAAGAGATAGTATCAGTAATGGCCATTCAAGGATATTCAGTAATTCAGAGCACAAAAAAAAATTGTGTCAAAATGATTGATCTTAGTTTCTTTCCTTCTTCTTTTAGTAGGCGTCACAATTTCAAGCATTTCAACACAATAATGTTCTTAAATGCAGTGTACATTAAATATTTATACAATCACAGGAGTCCCAAAGCTGGATTTTCAAGTTAAAAAACATAAGACGTGATAAAATATTATGACCTGGCACCAGCATAATTTTGTAGGCAAATAGATAAACTGGAAATCAGCCAGGGACTGCAGGAGATGACACTTCATCTTCTCACAATGAAGCACCATGAAAATTTTAATGATCCACTAAAACAACCCGTTTGATCAAGAATGCGGCAGCACTGAACAGCACTCCCAACACCCAGAAAATGACTATTTTCTGCTACGTGAGGTTTTTACAGACTCTCCCAGCCATATTAGCCCAGTCACAAGCCTTAGGACAGAGGCATTTGGCATTCCAGATTGTTTTCTGCAGCCTCTTCCAAGAAAACCGCAGGAGTCATGTTTCCCTTCCAAACAGAAGTCAACAATCAGTTCTTCCCAAAACATTTTGAGATTCATACTATTTTTTCCACTGCTCCAGAGACCTCCTGATAATGACAGGACCAGGCCGAAGTCCTAGGACAAACACCTTTCCTTTAGCTAAAGTTTAATTTTTGCTTGCTATGAGTCTTGCTGGCCTTGACACATGGCTGGGACACATTTCATCCGTTGTGTCTCAACAGGTTGCATCGCTACTTTGGTCCATGTTAGCAACAAATATTATTGTTTATATTTTCCATAGAAAAACCCTTAAAACACGGTCTTTCTTTTTTTTTCCCTCCATGTTTGGCTATTGATAATATTTTTTGCACCTTCTGGCTGACCCTGTCAGATAAGAAATGGTTTCTGTTGGTCTGTCCATCCTCCTCCCTTCACTAACTGGCAAGGCTTTTCTGCCCTCACTACAGAATTAACCTCTCGTAATAAGCACAGTGAGAAGCAGATTAGTTGGGCAACATTATCTGATCATGGCTGCCTCCTTTTGGGAAAGGGATTAAAAAAAATTCTCTCTCTATCAATTCCTTCTCCTTTTTTGCTGCATCCAGTGTATCTTTAGGGTAAATCTGGAAGTATACGTCAGGTCTGTAATTCAGATCTAATAGGAAAGGAGGTAGAGACAGATTGTAGGACATTACAACATGTCTTTTTACGGTGGCCTGATTTTATTCAAATCACTCTTCCTTTTACTGCTGTCTCTTGGGACAATTTGTGCTTGAAAATATTTTTTATGAACACTAATTCCTGAGCTATTTCTGACTTGTTTTTATTCCCTCACTGTCCTACACTCACATTATTATTATTCACATCCAGAATGCATGCACGCTAGTTAAAAACAAATGAACCAACAAGCAAAAAACCCCCAAAACAACAAAAACCCCAAACACGTCAAATGAGTTGCAAGATTAGTAAATGCAAAGTCTTAAAAATCTTAAATTTAGC